TATGTTCTTTGGGTCAGTTGACTTACAAGTAAAAATGCCCTAAAAGTCCCAGAATACAGATCCAAGGATAAATGCCAACCCCAGACCACTCCAGGTATTTCCACCCACCCTGCCCCCTCAACCATTGCATCCCAGAGGAATGGTACCCACATATTCCATTAGACACAAAATAAATGAGAAATAGTAATACATTCTTAAAACAAGCAAAGAAGTTGAAAGGGGTTTTTTTCTGCATCATTTACAAACTAGAAATAATATACAAAATTTAAAATTCCTCTACAATTCTTTCTACACATCTAAGAACAAATTCTGATGGTCAAATATAATAGGACGGAGTACAAAAAGAGAAATATGTTTTATAAAGGGGAAAAAAGAGGAGGAGGACCATTAGAGGCTAGAGTGTATCCCCTAACAAGAACTCTTTCCTTGTTTATTGTGGACAAAGATCAACAAATTTCCTATGAAACAAAACTCATCTTTCTTTGATCCAGTATCTGCTTATATTAAGACTTCATTTAGTTTTAGAAAAACCAACAAATAAAATCTGGGGTCCTAAAAGTTCTAGCTCCCAAATGCAACTGAAGACCCAATTTTCTACCTTTTCTTCTTTTGACTTCTCCAAACTCCAAAATCCGGTAAGAAAAATGTACTTGCTGAGACCTTTTAAACTTCCTATTCTCTGCAAAGTGATTTACTATATACACTTGTACATAATGTAAATATCTTATATTAATAGCAATTAATACAACTGTCCAAAGCTTCACCAAGTGACCAAAAAGTAGGACCACATGGCCTATTTGCCTCCTCTCCCCCAAAGCAGCCCATACCTGGAGAACAGGTTTACACAACAGATACATAATTAATATCTAACTCAGACATTAATATTTCACATACATTCTTTCCCTACCTCCCCCAATATACACACAGACACACTTTTCTGAGGATAGTATCAAAACACAGAAAGAAGCATTAGGCATTTTTTTGAAATCTCAGTCAGTGTTATGTGTATAATATAAATTCTTCAGAACTTACAAATATCTGCTTTTACAATAGTACTAAAGTGCCAAGAAAAACTGGGTTTAGAAGAACACATTCAAATCACCTGATATTTAGGCTTAAAGTTACCCTGTGGGATATCCCTGTTAAGTATGAAAGTTTTATCTTTAGGTTCGGCACCCATAGCTCAGTGGTTAGGCCCCCAGCCACATACACTGGGGCTGGAGGGTTCAAACCCAGCCTAGGCCTGCTAAACAACAATGACAACAACAACAACAACAAAAAATAGCTGGGCAATGTCGGGGGTACCTGTAGTCCCAGCTACTTGGGAGGCTGAGGCAAGAGAATCACTTAAGCCAGAGAGTTTGAGGTTGCTCTGAGCAGTGATGCCATGGCACTCTGCTGAGGGCAATATAACAAGACTCTGTCTCAAAAAAAATAAATAAAATAAAAAAGAAAGTTTTAACTCTAAATATCCAACCAAGCACTAAACTGGAGGTTATTAAATTATGCACTAGGTGCCATATACTAAATACCTAGCACATATGTAGTAAGTAATTATCTATGCCACTTATCCTAGCTTGCATATAATTATGTATCCAAGAGCGTTAAAA